ATATATATATATATATATATATATATATATATATATATAAAACATGATCCATTTGTAATCATTTCTCAGTGGAGGGAGGGAAAATTTAAGTGTAAACATTCTGACTTTTAATCATGTGCTGGAAACTTTGGGAATTGCACAGAAAACCAGACACCTTCTTCACTAATTGCACCACGGACAGATTAATTTTAAAAATCTTGTATGTAGTTACAGTGATTTGTATCTAGTATTTGTATCTCATTGTTTTCAACACTTGGATTCTAAAGGTCAGGGTCACCACGCTGTGCTTTTTCAGTCTTCCTGGTTGGCTGTCTCCCCTGGGCCTTGTAGAAGGTCCAGGAGAAAGAATACATCTGTAAATTTGTTTTCCTGAAGCCAGTGGGGCATGTGAAGGACCAGAAGCGATTTGTGAAGTTTTGTAATGTAAATGTGTTCTGTTTTGCTCCTTTTTACCCTTATGTTTACAAAATGAGTTTTTCCCTACTCTAGCAAATGTTTTTTTCTTCTTCCATCTATGTAGGTGATTGGCTAATTTTCAGGATAATATAATGAAACCAAATAAAAATTGAATTACCCACCCACAGGGAAAAAATATCAACCTTTTGCATTTTAGCATATATTTTTCACATTTTGCATTTGTACATACACACATATGCACATATGTATATGTACACACCTCGAAATTTAGAATACGTCCTTTGATATAGTGGTAAATGACAACTGAAATGAAGGGTGGTCAACCCCACATATATGACATATCGATTTTTCTCCTGCCTGGCAAATCTTGTGACCTTTTGTATTATGTTCTCCCAAATGTTAGTTTGTGATTTTTTTCTGAGAATTTTTATGCTTGTATGTAAGTTTGAAAAGTATTAACATTAACTTTGTTTCTAAATAATTTTTATAATAAATTTAACAAATTTTGATTGTAGACAGTTAATGTTTATGATAGTAAAAAGGCAAAGAAAAATTTTCATTCTACCACCCAGAGATAATCCCTTTTAGTACTTTTAGTATATGTTTTCTAGATTTTGTTTATGAATGAAATTTAGTGCTATATTTTTTCATGTTATATATATATGTATATCAATCTGTTAATTTCACATAATATCACAAATATTTCTTCTAGCATTAAATAGTCCTCAAAATATTAATGGTTATATATTTCATAAAATCCTTATTTCATAATTTTTTGTACATTCACATTTCTAAGTTTTCACTGTTTTAAACATTTTAATATTAATCCTTTGACAGTGTATATATAAAGTCATTCTTTAGAATAGATACCTTGAAATAAGATTATTGGGTCAATGGATATGAAAACTTTTAAGGATCTCTGTAAATTCACCTCAGAAATATAAGCATTCCTTTTTTTTCCCCCTTTCTTTCTCGCTTTTTTTTTTTTTTTGAACAGGAGATTGAGCCTGGGGTTACTCTTCCACTGAGCTGCATCTGCAGCCTTTGTTATTTTTTATTTTGAGACAGGGTCATGCTAAAATTGCTTAGGGCTTTGCTAAATTGCGAGATTGTCCTTGAACTTGTGATCCTCCTGCCTCAGCCTTCCTAGTTGCTGAGATTACAGGCATGCACCACCATGCCCAGCAAGTGCTTCTAATTCTACTTAAAATAGAGGATCAGAGCTTTTTATTTTTTTCCTTTGACTAATTGACTAATTATAATTGGTTTTTATGGCTTTAAAACCACTAGCTGCTATTAGCTTGTGACTGGATTGGCAAAATTTATCATTTGAAAGAACTTCAAGTAGTTTGGCTATGAAGTGCCACACAGCATTGATATTTTTTTAAAAATATTTTTTAGTTGTTGATAGACCTTTATTTATTTATATGTGGTGCTGAGAATCGAACCCAGTGCCTCACACATGCAAGGCAAGTGTGCTACCGCTGAGCCCCAAGCCAGCCTTGGGATATTTTTGATCCTCCTCTGTGTCTGTCACAACAGGACTCTTTAAAGGAAACCCTTAATTAATCAGCACCACCCATATGATGATGTCATGCAAGATTCTCATTACTTGTAATATAGTTTCAGAAAAAACAATCAGAAAATTCATTCTAATGATCAAAAGTGTACATAGAGAAACTTCTTTGACTTGTAAACTAGCATATGAAACATTTTATATCCTGTTCACCACTGTATCTATGTATGGTGCACAGCAACAAGGCCTGGCACATAGATATTTATGTGAATATTTTCATTAATAAAATAGTATTTTAGATAAAAGAGTGAGGGTCCACTCTCATTTGCCTTTATTTAATGCACTTCGTCAACTTGGCGGAGTTCATTTAGCAGTAATTATTGGAGTGAAGGATATTCAGATGGTCAATGAACCTAACTTGCTGTATCTACATTTTATTCCTTTAAAAGGCCTGAAAATAACTACTATTTTCCAAATTTGCATCATATGAAGTATGAGATTGAGGATGGCACTGCACCTAATGGAAGAGACCTCCGGTTTGGATTTGATCCCCTGGCATTTCCTGGGTTTAGCTGGAGAGGATATGCCCAGATGACCTCAGTCCAGGTAGGCAGCCAGTAGGCCACAGCTTCATGGCAGGGTGGCAACACTCTCCAGGGGCCATTGAAAGTGCTGTGGATTCCAGGATTCTTTTTCTCCAGAGGCTGGGTTGGAGTCTCAATTAAGGTTAGGCTTAGGGTTTGGGGTAAGGTGAGGTTTTAGCTGATTCCATAGGTCATTGCTACTTTCATTTGGTCACCAATCAGAAAATGAAGAAATGAAAGAAAAATGGTGATCATCTCTGTACACTTTTCACAAGAAGAAGGAAGTTTCTAAAATGACATTAGCTATATTATCACACAAGGGACGTTTTCTTTAGAGCCACTGTGTGAAAATAAAATAAGTGAGTTTAAATAATTCTAACACAATTAGTGTCACTAATTTTTTATTGATTATTTTTAAACTACAAATTACCCTGGGAATCGAAACTAAAAATAAATGATGAGTTTTAGTTAGTGCTATTTAATTATTCTTTCCCTTACTTCTCCTTTGCTTCATTCTTTTCTATTTTATCCATCCTTCTTTACATTAGAGTAAGGATGATTATATGTTGTTTACCTTTATACCCGTATGCAATATTTACAACAAAAAAATCCTGTAGAGTCACTGAGTAGTTTTGACCTCAGAATTTCTCTTGGAGGTTGATCCCTTTGAGCTGTGTCTTGGTGGAGAAATTCACAATAAGAGGAAGTCTGATGACCATGGTAGCTCAACACTTATCCTGAGAAGATTCAGGCCTAGAATACTCCATAGAGAAACTGAGATAGGCTCATAGTTTTCCTGATTCTAATGCTGCTTTTTGCCTGGTCAAATTCCCCCCAGCCAATCTGCCTTTCCCAAATAACACCTAGAACCTTAGAACATCTCACTTTCTTCCCATTCTCCCCAAATACAGAAATTCAGTTTCCTTAATGCTCTGATCTTATTTCATTATCAAAAAATGTTGGATTCTATAAAGTCAGAGTAGCATGTCAATGACTGACCAAGAGCCCAGTCAAGGTGTAGACCCTCTCACAGGTGAAAAAAAGTTTGGTTGACCCAAATAAATGAATTTCTAAGAATAGATTTTTCTGAGTCTTTTTGGTCAGAGGACATTGGTAGTGTCCTTGAGTGACCTCTTTGACTATTTATCTCCCAACTTGAAACTAACACTGAAAGATGCACACAGTCAAATTCTGAGGACCATCAGGTATTCCTGACTGTGGGTCACATGTAGCTCCATAGCTCCAGTATCTAGGGTACTGGAGTATCCTAGTGATCCTACCCTAAGTCAGTCTGTTGTCACCAGATTCTCACTTAACATATTTTCCCTGCATTGGAACCAAAGATGCTGGGAAAGAGACCAAAAGAACCGGATTTGAGATTTTCTACACTTCATGAACTTTCCTTAGACCACAGTGAATCTGAACATGTCTATGTTTCCAAATTAAAATTGCATGAGTTCTGCAATGCTCAGAGTATTGTGCGAGCCCTAGGGCTTGGGAACCCACTGGCTCCTCCTTCAGGTGGAAAATCCAACATTTCTCCTTGGATAAGGGCTTGAGATAAAACTTCATAAGACATAATAGTCATAGTTTAGTGACATCCAGATTTTATCACTAATGTGTTTGGGGTCTTTAACCTTTCCCCAGCCACCATTGGCTTCTGTGACCATTTAGATTTTCTTGATGTGAAATGGGTCCTAGAGTAGTCTCTTATGGGGGTGTGTGTGAAATAATACACTTTCCTTTCCTTCTCTTCTGCCCTTTTATTTTTCCCAGCCAGTGGTGGTTGTCTTCATCACTGTGGCTTTCTTAAATTAGTCCATCTAATCCTTCGCTCTGTCTGCCTGATCACAAAAAGGTCAAAAGAGGATCTCAGTGGCTGAGAGAGCATACTGTCACTGTAAGTGATTTTAATTCATTGTTAGGCTTGATTGTTTCCATATAATTCCTTGGTCCTTGTTGAGTGAGCGTGAATGTGTGTGTGTGTGTGTGTGTGTGTGTGTTGTATATAAGTTCAATAGTGAAACTCAAATAGAATGAAGTCATTGGTTGGCTAGCATTTCTTTTAACCTGTTTTCTGTGCTTCATGGCTTTTTGGTCTTTTTCAGAATGAAGTAAGGGTGATGTTGGATGTGGGGAAGTCAAATCTCTCCTTGTTTCACATTATTCTGAGATACGTAAACCCTGGAACTGAAGCCGTTTCTGGCCATATAACCATTTATCCATCTTGGGTGAAGTCAGGTGGGTAAAATTCTAAGTCTCTTTTCAATAATAAAGAAAAATGATCAAAAAATTATTTTCTCCAATTTTCCCAAAGGTAATCCTTCTTAGAAAACATTACACCTAGTAAGTGGTTGGATTGGACGGTTCTCTGGATGCTCTTTGTTACCTTCCCATTCTCTAAAGTTCCTGATTATTTAACTTCTTCTGTTAAATTATCATTAACTGTGACTTTAAAAATGATATAGCAACCTTTGTACCATGGCTGATCCAATGCGTCATGATACCTTCACTGAGCAAAGCTGATTTTATAGCTCATTCATGGTACAGCAGATACCAACTTTTTGGTGTTATTTAGGGGAGCTTGGCCTCTTGCTCTTAATTCTCTCATTGTTTCAAGCAAACCACGTAGTTCAAGGAGAAGTGGGTGAGGATAGGAATTTTTAAGATGAAGGCTGTAAAGCACAGATCCCAACAGAACTCCAGGAAGAATCTGCAAATTCTCCTTCAGAGGGACAGGAGAGGAGAATACAGCCTTACCCACAGCTAGGGACAAGGCCTGGGAGTGTGTCCTATAAAGAACCAGGGCTTTTATTGTTCTTGGAAACAGATTCCAGGGAGCATTTGAAGTCTCATAAAGACACAAAATGGCACCCAATGAAATCTAATTTAGGATCAAGATGTGAGCATCCGGGTTCAGCATCCATAGCAGAATTGGAATGCGGGGGAAGAAATGATGTCATGCCCCGGTCATGTCAGTCAAGATTGTAGGGATGGAGGTTGGTTAACTAATACCCAGTAGGCAGAACTGGTGTTTTACAGAGTGGTCCAGCATCCCTTCCCTCGGGTGATAAGAATTTTGTGGACTGAGAAGGCAACAAAGCTGAGAGGTTGAGTAAATTGCCTGAGTGCACAGCTGGACTTTGTAAACAAAGTCTTCAGATTCCAAACTCTTGCTAATAGAACCCTTGGGTGACAACGCCATCAGCAGTCTGCCCTCTGTTAACTCATATAGTCAGAATACTTTTTGGTTTGTTTTCTCATCCTCTGGGGCGATTCTCCCCAAGTCTGAGTCAGGAGCTCAGCGATGTATTCCCAGGGTAACATGTTCCTTTCCCAAAAAACAGCACTGTTCACCCTGTACCGTATTCTCTTGTTTTATCATCTCTATCCCTCAAATTCCCCATCCTCACCATTAGGGGGTAAAGACCATGTGACTGTGTTCACTGCCTTGTCCCCAGAACTCAGTTCCAGGCACATAGATGTCTGTAGAATGAGAGTGAATGCAAGGATTTGGAGCAAACATTTCTTCTCAAGAAAAAGTCTCATTTGGACTCACATGCAAGTCTTGTTTGTTTCTGAGCCATCTGCAGAAGGTCCTCTGTTTGTTTAATGCAGAGGAAAAATGTTGCATCCTGAAAATAAATAGAAGGCCCCAAATTTTCATAACAAAATGAATGTATGCTCATTAATAAAAATAAAAATCTCATATAAAAAAGAAAAATAACTTGTCATTATAATATAATAAGCATATATTATAAATAAGGAACATTCATCAACAGCTTACAGAAGCTAATATTCTTATTTTATAAATATACAAAATTACATTTCCAGCATAGGCAACCACTGCTAACATCTTATCAATATCTTTCTGGTCTATTTTTGTACATATGCATGTATACAAATAAAAAAAAAGTTAGAGCAGTAAATCTGATCAGTATTCATGATCAGCAAACCATCTTAAACTTTTTCAGATATAAACTGAGTACTTGAAACTGAACTATCTAAAGTCTTAACACTAGCTGCTAGAAAGATGTCTGCAACAGTTCTTCGTATTTCTGGTAGGTGCTGCTCAAAGCAAAGAAATCACCTTCCTGCCGAGCAAGGAGCCAGCTTTCGTCACCATCCCTGGAAAAGGCATTGCAGACCCGTTCTCACTGACACCGGGGACATGGATTGCTTGTATCAAGGCAGAAGGAGTCCTCTTGGTAAGACAGAGTTCTGAATGAATGGGGATCTCTGAGGGTTGTTCTCCCACTTGAGATGGTCTCATCCAACACTATGACCCAACAGTGACCATGAAACATCAAAATCACAGATTTTGCCCCCCCCCCTTTTTTTTGGTGGTGCTGGAGATTGAACCCAGGGCCTTGTGCATGTGAGGCAAGCACTCTACCAACTGAGCTATATCCCCTGCCACAGATTTCCCTTTTATCATACAGGAACCTAAGGTGACCTTTCCCCTAAAATGACATAATGATGTAAGATTATTTCCTTCTAGCCAGCTTCTCTTGGGCAAACAAAACACAAAAACCAAATAACCTAAACTGTAACTCACAGTGACTCAAAGTTAACAGAACAAATGCAAAGCTTTCATATGCATATGTCCCTGCCTTCCAAATGCTCGTTTGGTATTTCCCATCATAAATCAGAGGGTACCTAAAAAAAATAAGCCTTTCTGGGGACTGTGCATAATGAAATCAGAAAAACAGAGGACAAGAAAATCCTAATATCAGTGAGATTTTCAGTGTTGGAAAGAGAAGAGGCCACAGGAGCCATAATGCTGTTCCTGCTCTCTCCTACCTTAAACCTAGGCAAGAATTTCACCAAACTGGTTGCTTTTGACAAAGAACTGTTCATCAAAGGAAAGGCTGTGTCCACCAACACTAATAAAGTAGCCAGAGAAGCAGAGAGATAAAACTTGTTCTCTGGGACACCCTTCTTTGATATCTGTTTTGAAGTCTGCTTCTACTTATAGCAGGGTCTTCTCAAGACAAAATCATTGGCAAAATCTTGGTATTATGCTCTTTGAGTGGAAAATATGAAGTTTTCCTTCTGGCACAACCCCATTGATGACCTCAACTGGAAGCCTGCCTTTCTTGCTGATTCCAGACAATAAGGATAGTATTTATCCTTATAGGTCCTTTCCAAATCTGGAACCTTATAAAGATAACATGTAGGTTTATCCTGTCCATTTGTTCCTGTTTTTTTGTACTTTCTTGGCAGAAAACTGTGCTGCTTTAAAAAAAAAAAGTTTAAGATGGCTGCACAGATGTCAGAAATGAGGATGAGGAAAATTCCAATGATGCCAATAGTGGGCACAAACTTAGACTAATGGAAAGGAGGATTCATTATAAGTTACTAGGAGGCATGGAATATGTTTAATGGTGTATAGTCAGTGCCACTGTATAGTAGAGCAAATAGTTTTCCCCATAATGATTCCATTTCTCCTAAAAATATTGGGCACCTATTATCAACCTTTATTGTTCTAGGATCTATGGGATATCAAGGAATGAGGTGATACAGTTCCAACCTCAGTAATATTACAAGTAGAATGATAACCATTTTGAAAGTAAAACTCAGTGTTTCAGTTAGTTTTTTGTCACTGTGATCAAAAGACATGACAAGAGCAATATAGAGGAGGAAAAGTTATTTTGACTCACAGTTATTAGGTTCAGTCTATTATCAGCCAACTCCATAGCTCGGGGCCTGAGGTGATGCAGAACATGACCATGGCAGAGGGTGTGGTAGAAGGAAACAGTTCAGAACCTGGCCACCAGGAAGTAGAGAGTGCGAGCTCTGCTCACTAGGGACAAAATAGGAACTGCAAAGTCACACCCCCAGTGCCACACCCCACCTCCTCTAGTCACACCCCACCTGCCCACTTAATCCATATCAGTGGATTAATTCACTGATTACATCACATCTCTTATCACCTTATCATTTGACCTTTGGAAATTCTTGCACTGTCTCACACATGAGTTTTGGGGGGACACCTCATATTTAAACCATAACAGGTAGTAAGACCACCGAGTTACCCAAGCCACAATCTCCTACTTTCCCCCTCCTAGCCATTTCTCCCTGAGGAGAGAAATGCCAGACAGACCATGTATGATTCTCTTTGCTGTTGAGCAGATGTCCCTTCCTCCTTCCCTTGCAGATCTATGGTGAGGACACATATATGAGAAGAGCTGGTTAGCAGAATTTATTCTGAGTGGGCTTCATTTGGCACACTTATTAGAACACGCTCTTCTTCCCATTTGGTAGGACAAGCTGTAGGTCAGTCCATTCTCTTGAGTCACCAAGAATTGTGAAACTTTTTTTCTGAACCTTTTTTTCTGCAAGGAGCAGAAAGCCATCTGACATGATCTGCGTTGGGTGTTCTCTGCTGAAGGCAGCCAGCCTCTCAAGGGAGCATCTTATCAATTGGCAGCTTATAATCGTTGCTAATTTTTGGATTTATAAATGACTTAGAAGAGACAGTAAAATTTCTCCTGCAATTTGAAAAATACCAATGTTCACACTGAAACACCCCTGTGTAAAGAACCCCCGAGAGTTATTTATGGGTCTTGGTGAGTCAGGGTAAGGAACAGGAAGTTGGTATAGAGAGGTTAACCAGGAACTTCATCTGGTTGTTAATTTAGCTAGTATGTTTAGTTATTTTATCATCAAGGTAAGGCTCCCAGAAAAATGAGTAACTGTCTTTTGGGTCTTTGCTAGGATTACCTGGTGCTGCTCCCCAGAGACTACTATGAAGCTTCGGCGTTGCAGCTGCCTGTCACAGAACCATGTGCCCACACAGGATCTCCCCAGGAAAAGTTAGTATGGGGCAGAAGGTGCAACTGCAGCATGAATGGATCTTCTAAATTAGGAGCCTTTAACACAAGGGTTCATGATAGTCCTCAAGATCACAAGTGCAGCTGAATGTTCTGGATAATGAGTTAATTGTGCTGTTTCTTCTCGGTCTTATTTGTGTCCTTCAAGTAAGAATCACAAAGCACTTTTTGCACACTGAAGCTTTTTTTTTTTTTTAATGAGTGGCTACCACCCTGTAGCAGGTAGAAGTGTTGCTGCATGCCTAAATTTTAACCTCAAGGTCATGCATTGGGTAAGGGTAAGAGCTTAAAAATAGAATCCAAATGGACTTTTGTTTCTTCCCTTCCTGGTGCAGATGAAAAGTCCTCAGTTCTGGTAGTAGACACTTACTAAGAGTCTGTTAAAGGGATGATACATGAATGAGTGAGGTGGATTGAATGACTCAGAGTCCTCAGGGATGTACACTGATATTTGGTTTCATGTTCTTGGTTATAACTAATGTGTTTTGCTGTTGTTGAAGTTGCTTGCTTTACCAGCATTTGCCAGTGACCAGGTTCCCCTGCACTGTGGCTTGCGAGGCCAGGCACTTCCTGCTTGATGGCCAGTCGAGACCCTTGGCAGTGAGACAGCCCACCGCAAGACATCCAGTCATGGTGGACCTCAGCGGGAGAGAGGTGGGGGAAGCCTCTTATTTATTGTCAATGCTAATACTGTATCCCTATCTGTGTCTGTTGACTTCTCAAGTTCTAGAGAAACTGGAAGAATTTCTCAGGGATGTTAATCAGCATCTGCTGAGTTCTCTGATTTTGGTTGGGTCTGGATGGGACCTTACACTGAGCTCTGTTAAGATTGCTCTTTGAGCACTTTCTAGACAAGGCAGGGGACATGGGTAACTATAGAATCCTTTCTTTTTGGTTCCCTAGAGGAGGCATCTTATTCTGCCTGACTCAGGGCGATATCTCTGATGTCAAAGAAAGACGAGACTCAACCTAAAAGCTCTCCATTATCTTCATAGCTTACCCTAAAAGGACACAACACCCACTCACCATCCAACCCCGTAGGCTAAGCAATTTGGAACAGCTGAATTCCTGGATCTCAGAATCCGGAACTGCTGCACCCCAAGACAGCTACTCATAGCTCGGGGGACATGTTACTACAGGTCTCGGCATTAGTTTTCTTCCAGGAGTTCTTTGAGTCTTGTAGCCAAATATAAGAATATATTGATTTAGTATGCGAGTCAAAAGTACAGTACATCAGCAATAATAAGAAAATACAACACCTCAAATTGAAGACACTGAAAACAGCCTTCTCTGCTACGTTTTTATTATTTTCTAGAACATTCTCTGTTTTGTGCCTGTGAAGAAAATGTTCGTTTGGTGGATTCAATATATAGAATAAAAATATCTGTGGCCTTAGTTCTCCCTGAGAATTTAGATGGGTACATTTTTTAAATCAACAATAATACTAACATGTTGTTAGTAACAGCTAAAGGTATTAAATATATTTCTTAAATATAGTTTTTGTTTTATCTTTTAGAATTTTTATTTTACAAAATAATATTTATGTATGTTGTATCAAGTAAACAATATAAGTATAAAGAAAAACTAAATGATCTTTCCTCTTCTCTATTCTAAAATTTATTTTACTGCATCCCTTCTTTCTGTACTGTGTGTCTATACACACACACACACACCCACACACACACACACACACACAGCTGTCCATTGACATACACATTCATGAAAATGCATAGACACAAAAATACAGATTCACATAGGTGTATGTGCTTGCATGTCTATTTGTGTATGTGTTCCCCAGACAACAGGGTGGTGTAGCTGAGAAGGGCCAGCCTCCAGCAAGGGATGCTGAAGACTCATCAGAAGGTGTTCTTACCTGTGATAGAGCCCAGAGCCACAGCACTGAGCTGTTCAGCAGAATCACTTTGGGTTGATGCATAAAACGAAGTCCAGAGCTGTCCAGTTTTATTGAAAATTTCTGTTTACGTTTTTTTCTGAATGCCTCCAGACCTGCAATACCTTCTAATTCCATGTGACTATATACACTCAAATTAATAAGCTTAAATATAATTAAAAATGGCTTTTTAATTTTACATCATAATTGTATAGTTATTGAATTATTTCATTAAAGTCTGTGTGAGGGTAGAGACCATGTCTGCTTTGTTTCCCATGGTATGTCCACCATCTGGTCAGTAAACCTGGCCTAGAATATACATTTAATACTTGTTGACCTCATTATTTGAATCCCCATTTTGACATCAGAGTTGTTAGGTTTCTGCATAAACAACAGATTTGATAAACCCACCTTCTATGTCTTTATCCTAAAACATTGTAACTAGGAGAGGGCAGTTGTGCCACCTTACCATTTTGATACTGGTTCCATTCAAATTTCCCTTTTTAAAAATAAGTAACTGATAACAACAGTAAGCTTAAAGATTTTGTTTGTCATTGTAATGTCTTTTATCTGAGTTCCGCAAAACCTGCTTTTGCCATCAAATGTATTTTAAACTCTTCCAACAGATCTTTCAAAAATCAATCCATAGAACTCAGAATGGGAAGCATATTAGAAATTTACAGTAGACTACTATGATAAAACTTGCAGCCAATGATAACCTCTGGGAGAAAAACTGAAGAGTCATTGACCCATGTGTGTTTTATGGTGGAGAGAAGACAGAAAAGCTTTCATCTGGAGATGCCCAGGGGAGAGAAGCCAGTAATGACCTGTCCACCTGCACCATTGGCAGTGCCGTACATCACTGTGTAATAGAGCCAAGAGTGGTGTGGATAATCCACGTAGTTCCCTGAGGGAATCTTTCTGTTATTTAAGTGGTGGAAAAATCACCACAGAATATAGCATTTATGTGGTTCAGAACTTTTCAGAAAGAGCAGTCAATGTGAATTTCCTGAAGGCAAGGAGAAGGAGGACCATTTCAGTTAAGTGTGGTATAACTCAACTGGGCTTGAGTGTATGAACTAAGGTGGGTTACGCTGCTAAGGAATACAATTCTAATACTGGGTGAGGCATGAAATATGACCACATACTTCACACAAGCAATTCTTTTTCTAGGAATTTTATAAAATACCAGCATGGAATTTATATGTATATTTATTAATTTTTATATATATATTTATATAATGTACTTATATAAATATATACTTATTAATTTATATATAAAATAATAAATATATATTCCATATATAAATTAACAAATATATATATAAATTCCATATATACACACACATATACATATATATTTCCCATATGTGTGTGTATATGTGTGTATATGTGTATATATCCATGTATATGAAAATTAATGACAACTTAAATGTTCATCCGTAGGAGATCAAATATTTTTATAGTTATACACTAGAGTGGTAGGTAACTGTTAGAAAAATGAAGTATATTTCTATATGCTGAAAAAGAAATATGAAGTATTGTTGAGTAACATGTCATAGCGAAACAAGTCATAGCAAAAAGCAATAATCACAGCTATAATCATCAATGTTTTTATGTGCTGCTTAGGACATGCGACATATAGTTCTAAGAGCTCTGCATATATTAATTCATTTAATCCTCAAAACCATCTTAAGAGGTAGATACTATTATTACCCTCATTTTGCACAGGAGGGTACTGACACGTAAGATATCAAATAAAAAACCCTAGATCACACAGCTGGGAGCAATCTGATTTCAGACTCCATGCTCCTAACCAATAGGTGAGATTGGGGGAGCATAATTTTTCTGTAAAGAGCCAGATAGTATTTATTCTCGACTTTGCAGGCCACATGGTTTATGTTATCATAGTTATGTTATTATAGTTCAAGAACATCCTTGATTGCCTACCATGACCACAGTTTTTTTTTTTTTTTAAGTGTGTGTGCACCTCTAGGCATAGAAAATTATTTGAAAGTATGAGAACTAAGCTATCAGTTGTCATTGTCATGATGTAGCAAACTATCAACAGGGGTGGGAGAGGTGTGTCACTTTTATGTTATTTTCACTGAGATAATTTAAATTCTTTGTAAAATAAGTTAGTTAAAGAGCTTCAAGGCATATACCCATTCCTCATACCCTTCATTGGTAATCTGTTTTACTTCAAGTTTGGGAGTGCCTTTGACTGTGAGAAATGGGAGCTAAACCATTACAGGGTAGAAGTAGACACCCCTATAAATAAAATTGCAAGATTTGGAGGATAAAAATATATAATGCTGCTTTAGATTTGAAATTCATGTAAACAATTATTCATTGCTTATCTGGGCTTCAAATTGAATGGGGCATCAAGTATTTTTTTTCCCATATCCACCCTTAGAGCCAGATCCGTACTATTCTGACATGTAGAAGTGTCTCCTTGGTGTCTTCTCTGTTTTCACCATCATGTATGTAAATATGTTCATGTGTGTGTTCCACACTGGATGATGGTCTGTTTGGCCTCTTTGGCAGGTGGAACTGCATCTGCAGCTGCGTGTCCCACAGGTCGGCCAGTACGTGGTCATGGTTGAATATGTCACAGAAGCAGACCAGCTGTTTACGGTTGACATGAACATGAAGAGCCCTGGGGGGCCTCTTTTGGCAGGCCAGGTGACCATATATAGCTGCAAGTACAGGTAATCAGCCCCCACCCCCACCCTAGGAATTCCCCCTTGTTCCCAGGGAATAAATATGGTGCGTGCCTGAGGAACTTTGATTTGCATTTGCGTTGGAACCTTGTTTTCTTTCTTAAGCGAATCTTGAAAACAAGCCAGGGACTAGTTAGATGATCCAGCATCATCTGTAGCATGCCCAGTGAGAGTCCTCTCTGAAGGCAGTGAATTGAAAATTTTTCATTTTCTTAAAAAGCCGCATGCTCTCCTTAGCAATTTGGTTCAGAATCACATGAAGCTGCACGGCCTCTTTTCGTGATTCCATGTCACTCTTAGTGTGGTACAATGAATTCAGTGTTCTCACCTCAGTGGCCACCAAGCGCATGTGTACATGGCACGAGGAAAGAGACTCATTCTCTATACTATTAGGAAGTACACACCTGCGTTCACAATACACCTTCAGAACTGGGGATAATTAATGTTTCATGATTAATAGATGAAAAAAATTTGACAAAGGACATTTAAAATTTGCCTTGGTGAAGGTCTTCTTGTCCAAGAACACTAATTGACACGAGCTTATTAAAAATGGTTTTCTTTGCATAATATTCCAAGAACATGCTTTGATGAAAGAATCAGCACAAGAGGCTTTCCACATGAGATTAATTGTTTAATAAATGGTACTGGAAGTCAGCTGGAGTTTCTTGAAACAGCAGGTGGAGAACTGCAGAAAACCCACCCACTTCTTGCTCAAGGCCCTGAACATTTGGTTATCTTTACTTTAATGTTGCTTTTTGCCAAGCCCAAGATGACCTGAAGTAGTTGGACATTTTCCCTGATGTGGAAAGGGAAGAACTTATGCAAAGAGTAACTTCTGGAAATTTAGAAGGGAAACTTTTACACAATTCAGTGAAATGGCTATTCTCAGCAACATTAAAAATGCTGCTGCAAAAAGAAACCAAAAAATGTAATTGTATTATTATTATTATTATTATTATTATTATTATTATCATCATTATTGTTGTTGTTGTTGTAGTTGGGGACGGAAGAGGGCCTCTTTCATGCATGCTAGGTGTTCCACCACTGGGCTGCACTTCTAACTCTATATTTGGATTTTTAACAGGACCATGAGATGGGCCTTAAAAAGAGTTCCCCAGAATGTTCTGACATTATTTGGAAATATGAGTTGCATCTTTAGGTGACATCAATACCAGCAGAGTATGCACCCCTAGAGGGGTGGGTCACCAAGTCACCTGAGTCCTGGGGACCGCTGGCCATAGAACTGAGGCAGAGCTTCTCCACATCTTGTTCATCCAAGTCCACCCTCCAGTTTAGCTCTCTCCACTCCTTCCACCTCCCATGTCACAGGGCTTGATTCCAGTTTTGTAGGATCCGAAGTGGAGATGGCTCAGGAACAGGAGGAATTATTCATATGATGCTGGTGACTCTGAATCATTTCAGAAGAGCTCTGAGACTACCTATGCCCAGGATAAGAGGGGTTTAAAACCAAAGAAAGAACACCCTCCCAGCATTCCATGAGCCTTGTCTGAATGGGTTATTGAGGAATAACTGTCTAAATCATTAAATAATAATTTAATAAAGGATAAAGCTAAATTTCAATGAATCACTTCACATATTTAACTCCCAGGATTATGCTTGAATCCAAAAGAAATATTTTAATTTACACACACACACACACAACTATTAAGTTCTAATATATGTACAAACTCTGCTTGTTTTTTTTTTTTGTATGTTTTATCTCATTTTAATCCTGACCTAAAAAGTCATTGCCTAAATTATTTCAAATATTAATCAGAGGTAGTCATTCTGTCTTAATAGGTTACTAGTTTTATATTTTATTTACAAGCAGAGAAGTTGCAGCAGAGTATGAAATCTGAAACATTACTCAAAAAAGACTTCCTGTCTGGGTTTAACCGTTGGAATTATGTGGCCTTTTAAATATTTCCAAACTCTGCAGCTCACCAGATGAGATAGAGGGAAGGGGCATCAGGGATAGAAATGAGGAAGAAAGAAAGAGAAGGAACAGATTGAGTCTCAAAAGCAAAGTCTGGGTTTCTCCAATGTTGAGGAAGGTCCACCACAATTACTGACTGCGAGTGGCATGGTCATGAGTGGGTAACTTGAACTTCAAATGCTCCCAAGAATATTGGTAAAATTCCAAGAAGGCTATGTGTTAGAGATCTGCTATCACTGCCCAGGAGTTCTTTTTCCCTGTGATTAAACCAAGCATTCATCAAGCCATGTGGGAAAGGTAAGCAGGGCCCTTAGCTCTGACAGGTACAGCAGTGGCTATAGTGGAAAGATTCTTTTTCCATAGAGATTTTGGGCTGTATCTTAGTCCATTAGTGCTATTATAACAGAATGTCACAGACTGGATAATTTATAAAGAAGTTTATTTCTCACAGTTCTGAAGTCTGGGAAGTCCAAGATCATGGTGCCTGAATCCAATGAGAACCTTTGTGCTATGTCATCCTATGGTGGAAGGTAGAAGAGCAAGAGTACACATGCGCTTGCAAGAGTCCACTTTATAATGAAACCACTCCTCTGATAACACCGTTCATATACTCATGAGGGCAGAGCACCCATGTTGTGTCCTACTCTCTTAAAGGTCACAATGGCAATTAAATTTCAACATGAATTTTAGAGGGGACATTCAACTTTCTTTTTTTTTCTTTAAAGAGAGAGAGAGAGAGAATTTTTTTTTTAATATTTATTTTTTAGTTTTCGGTAGACACAACATCTTTGTTTGTATGTGGTGCTGAGGATCGAACCCGGGCCGCAGGCATGCCAGGGGAGCGCACTACCGCTTGAGCCACATCCCCAGCCCAAGGGACATTCAACTTTCAAATGCAGATTGCATTGCTCTGCAACTTGTTATGCAGGAAAAATTTACTACTGTTCATCTAGTTATAAAGGGGGAAACTGAAGAGCAATTTCTATGGGGATGTGCACAGTGAGGGAGACTCCAGGGGCTGCAAATTAGAGAGGGGGGCTAGGCTAAGAAAACTCTTGTTTCCTTTTGCAGTGTTCTCTGCCGGAGCGTTGTGATTGATAGCATGAGCCGCATTGCTGTGTATGAGCTATTGGCAGATGCAGACCTTCAGCTCAAGGTGCACATGGCCCGATTCCTTCTGGTATGCTTCTGTTTTGCCCATTGAACTTTTAGAAGCATTTTGTTGCTATCGATATATTTTTTAAAGCTTATTAAAATTTTGGCTACAGTTTCATTATAAAATTAACCTGTGAAGAATTGCCAGCTTAATATTTATTCTTCCCATCTAGAGCCTGACTTGCTTCTTTATTTATTTGAGCCATTTTTTTTATATCGCCCAATAAAGTTTAGTCATCAAATTCGAACACATCTCACAAAATCCCATTTCATTAATTTTTATTCTTTGTTATCAAGAATGAAATATTCTTTGTCATTATATTTCCTACTTTATTTTTATTGCCAGAGTACAGGAATGCCATTGGTTATTGTTTATTTATTTTCCCATTTTACTATCCTATTACCTCTTATTTATAGTTTTTGGCAAAGTCTATCAAAAAGTCAAAGTTATTATCAGCTAGTTTTTTTAAAAAACTTCTATTTAAGAAAAAGTATTATTTAGTTAATTGGATATATAAGCTTAAGAGTTAAAATATGAAATTGAGCCGAGGAAATAACCTTCCTGTCCAATCTTGTAATGGTACACCTTCAATACTGAGAGACCCTGGGGTCTGTGTAGGCAGGGATGGCCAGATTCACAATAGGTGTCTCAGGGAATTTAAGATATTTTAAGCATGAAGCAACTTCCTGTTACTGCTGATATGAAGCATGTATCAAACCCTGGGAAATGCTAGGTCAGACTGTACAAATGCACTTTAAATATCTATGTCAGACAGTATTATAAACTTTGAACTTAAGAATAGCTGAAATTTGATTTTTAAAAATTATTATTATAAATTGCAACCCTCTTTTTTTAAAAAAATCATAACAATCCAAGCAAATCTAACCTCTTTATCTTTAGAAATGACCATGAGGCTGACTCTTCATCTTTTAATCATAGGTTTTGCCCTTTTTGATTTTTCTTTGTTTTCTGTGCTAGGGAGGTAAATGTCTCACTAAGCAAGCACTCTACCACTGAGCCATGTCCCGCGTCCCGTGTACCTCTTTTGAAATAGCCTGCTGTCATTCAGGTTCAAGGCTGACTAGAATAGCAGGTGCATGAGGACAGAGGCAGTCTATCTTGGTCTTGTAGGACACCCTGTCTTAACGATGTTCAGTAAAAACTTTTGTTGTTACTGAATAGGTTTGCAATCCAGCTGATAATACAATTTTGTTTTTAAAAATATACTGGTACATTAATGATTGAGTTTCTTGTGTCACTCAAAAAATACCTCTGCAGATAGATCCTTCAACAAAGTCCAAGTATACCCGAGATTCAGGTCATTTTTTAATCAAGAAGGGTTATTTCTACCAAGAACAGCTCTCTGAATAGCAATACAGCTCTCTGGCCACGCACCACATTGCCCTCTTCCTGTTAGTGAGTCTCAAGAGCCAGCACAAGTTTGTCCAATCTTGTAATGGTACATCTAAAGAGGAGAGAAAAAAAAGAAACAAGACAAAACTTCCAAAACAGGCATCAAAGGTCACTGAAAGAGTTTTTCTTTTTTGTAACTTTTATATGATTTTTTTCAGTTTTATTTATTTTTCCAACAGCAATTTAGTCAGTAGGGTATAACACTAAAAAAGGATGTGTTACCAATGGTGTCGCCATTTTGAATTTTCCATTGTATGACTGCATAGTATTTACTACTTTAATGACTATAATTTTTCTGAATGAATGTTATGATTTGGCCATACCACTGTTTTGCTGGTAACCGTGGCTATCTTTTCACATTGTATTTGCTCGACAGCATCAGATTTGTCTCATACCCATTGAAGAATTCTCAGCTGAATACGTGAGGCCTCAAGTCCACTGTATTGCCAGCTACGGGCCATTGGTTAATCAAAGGTAATGTGTTTTCTTCCTTTGTTTCTTACTGATATCTAAAGGATATTGTGATGCTTGTAAGGCTGAAACTCTATACACATTGAATATCCCTTATCCAAAATGCTTGGAACCAGAAGTGTTTCAAATTCCAGCTTTTTAAAAAAAAATTGGAATATTTTCATATATATGAGATACACCAGGGATGGAACCCAAGTATAAACACAAAATTCATTTATATATCATGCATAGGGTATACACATAGCCTGAGGGTAATGTCTTATAACATTCTTATTTTACCTGAGTTTGGACTGTGACCTGTCTCATGATGACAGGTATGGAATTTTCCACTTGTGGCATCAGGTCAGTGTTCAAAAAGTGTTGGATTTGCAACCTTTGAAATTTTGGATTAGGGATGCTCAACCTGTCCTTCAGAAGTGATCGTAAGCTCAGGTGTAGAAGTCTGGTGATGGATGTTAAAAAGAGAAAAGCCAGCAAAATTATTTTTCTCAGCCGTCATTTTTTTTCCAGAATTCCATAACGCCAGGAGGCTGACACAGCGGTACCAGGGGAAATAGTTAAGCCTGGCCCTGGAGGGCAGGTCCCTGTGTTCTATTCTGAGCCCTCATTTTGCTTCAATCCTTTAATCTCTGTGTCTGAGGCTCTGTATTCACAAAACCACAAAAATAATGAGCTATCTCACAGCTATGTTATCAGAATTAGCTCATTCTTATTGGGGTTTTCATAGGCTTGCTTTGCTGTAGACTCAAAAATAATTAATTTATAGACACAGTCATTTGCCTTGTGTGTGTGGTTAGGACTATAAAAATGGCCAACCCAGTGCAGATCTGGCTGTGCCTAAAAGAAATATGTATTTGCTTCTCTTTTTGTTAGGTGGACATTTATAAAAAGAGATGAATAATATTGTATTGGTTGCATTTTAATTTTGAAGGAAAAGGATGTTTCAGTAAGTTTCTATTTCACTTATCTTACTTCAAAATAGAGGTCTGCTTTCTGTTTACACTAGTTGTATTAAGCAGGCAGCTGGAATATACTAGGCCAATAGAGTTCACTGATTATCACTATATAAAGATTTCCAGTGGGCTGGGCTGTAGGTCAGTGGTAGAACACCTCTCTAGCATGTGTGAAGCCCAGGAATCCCCAGCGTTGCAAAAATAAAAATTAAATAGAAATTTAAAAAAATGATGTGTAGGATGCTATGGTTCCCCTGACACGGAAACCCTTCAATAGTTTACTCAGTCCTGTACTCAAAGTCTTGTCTCTTTGCTCCATGGACAGCTCTGCAGGTTTTCGATAATTGTGAAGTAAGATTTTTATTTTATTTATTTATTTTTTTTTTGTGGTGCTGAGGATTGAACCCAGTGCCTCACACATGCTAGGCAAGTGCTCTACCACTGAGCCCAAACCCCCAAACTGTGAAATAACATTTTGAACATTGTATTTTCAGTGCCACCTGTGTCTCTCTGGCCCATGAGACTCCTCCCACGGCCTTAATTTTGAATGTCCCCAGTGGGAGAACGTTTTCTCTCCTGCCCCAGGAGAATTCCCCTTCTGCAAACGTCATTCCTGGAATTACCTTACAGGCCCCACAGGTAAGACTGACATCTAGTGTGCTGTGTCTAGACCCGTGGTTCTTAAAGTGTGGCCCCTGATCAGCAGCATCCATGAAACCTGGGAGATGGTTGGAAAAGCACATTCACTGGCCTCACCCCAGACTTCCTGAATCAGAAGCCCTGGGGGCGGGGCTCAGCAATCTGCATTTTAACATATTGTCCAGGTGGATTTTTTTTTAACATAAACTTTAAAAGTTCTGGAGTATAGAATACACGTAACATTCTGATATTAGTATGTTCTTATCATCCAAAGGGTGATCGTGTCTGTTCAAATAGCAGCAGGTTTGGAAATTAACAGGACCTCAGAGATAAAATTGAATAAGATTCCAGATGGGAAAGGTAGCCAAATAATAGCTAAGAGAAATGGGTTAAAATCAAATTGACCTAGTTCTAGTCCTGGTTTGTTCATTAAATTAGTGAATCATTAAATTAGCGACTTCCTACAAGTTAGTTACTCTCTCTTAGTTATAGCTCTTGTCTTGAAAAACGAGGATAATCTTTTATTGCTATTGTGTTGTTGTTGCTGCAGTTTTTTGAGAGTTAAAAGATTTATTATGCATCGAGTGCAGTATTCTGGAGAGAGCAGGGCTCACACTCATATGATTAAGTAAAAGGAGGAGTGTGGTTCTGGATTTTGTTGTGGTTGATAGGAGTGGGGAACACAGTTCAGGTCCCAAGAGCTGGAATTTGTGTGGTTTGGACTTTTCACCCATGCCAAGGGAGGGGCCCTTAGGTTTTCTTATCAACTTGTCCAGGTATGCGGGAAAAGGAGTTGAAAGCCGTCAGTAGTCAAACATCAAAGATGGAGTCAGACTCCTTATTACCCAGGTATTCTGAGAGGTGCTGCTTTGAACATACTCCTGCAGCCTTTTAGCAAACATATTATAGGTACTAGCTGAGAATGCAACTTCTGGGTTATGTTTTTGACATTGGCAAATACTGACAAACAGTTTTTCAATGTAATTTACCAAATTACACCCCCTCCAACAAAATGTATGGTTATATCACAGTTGTTTGTCCATTCTGTAGGTGAGAGATGCTTGTTTTGTGTCCAGTTTTGATATTTGCAAATAAAGCTGCTACAAACATTCACAGTGAAGGTTTCTTTGGGAATACACCTTGTCATTTCACTTGGGTAAATACCTAGGTCATTTCTGGTTTTTAAACTGTTCTAGTCTGTTTTCTGTGGCTACCATAAAGTACCTGAGTTTGGGTAATTTATAAAGAGAAGAGGTTGCTTTAGCTCTTGGTTCTGGAGGCTGGGAAGTTCAAGGTCAGGTGCCCACATCTGGCAAGGGCCTTGTCCTACAGCATCACATGGCAGAAGATACCACATGGTGGGTACATGTGTGACAGTGACAAGTGAGCACCTGTAGAAGAGAGGAGGGGACAAAAGGGGCAGGTACTCTATGTGAACCCATTCTTGTAGTTACTCAGCCCATCCTGGGAGGGCAAGAGCTCACTTCTGGGAGAGGGCATTTATGTGTTTATGGGGACTCTGTCCCTATAATCTAAGTACCTCCTCTTAGGCTCTACCCCCCAACACAGCCACGTAAAAGAATTAAATCTCAAAGTAAAAAAAAAAAAAAAAGAATTAAATCTCCCCCTGAGTTTTGGTGGGGACAAACCATACTCATATGATAACAACTTCTAAATATTCTAATCATTTTGTAGCTCTTCAGCTTAAGGGGTTCTCACTGGGAGTTTTTATCACCCTCATTTTTCTCCCTTTTAGAGCCAAGTGACCCTGAGAGGACTCGTACCACACCTGGGCCGGTATGTTTTTGTCATCCATTTTTATCAAGCAGCGCACCCAACGTTTCCCGTCCAGGTGTTTGTGGATGGAGGGCGGCAGTGGTCAGGTGAGCACCATGATCAGGTCCATGAGCGGTGTGCCTGGCATTGTCCCTGCGGTCACATGACGGGAGCTCCTCTCTCCTTGCCCAGGTTCCTTCCGTGCCTCCTTTTGTCCCCATGTGCTGGGCTGCCGGGATCAGGTGATCAGTGGAGGCCAGGTTGAGTTTGACATCTCAGAGCCTGAGGTGGCTGTGACTGTGAAGGTTCCTGAAGGAAAGTCCTTAACACTGGTGCGTTCTGCTTGTCCCTTGACTTCCTCGTCCTGTGGCTTCTCTGGCCGACTGGTTCACGGCAACGGTTGTTCCAAGGAGTTAAAGCCATGTTTATGGAATTATCATTTTACAGCTTTGACCCAAAAGAAAAAGAAAAACATGTGACAATTAAAATCAAGGAAAATGGGGATGACCAAAAGCAAAGTGCTCATATTCACCACCACTGCCCTCTTCTCATCTGACCAGTCTCTCACCAAAGCATTTTACACTTCTTGCTTCTTTTGACCTCTGTCGCTGCTTTCTCCCCATTTTATGTCTCTTTCCCTCATAATCCCTTGATAGTTCTCTGTCCTTCTCATTTCTATATGTTGGAGTTCCCTCAGGTTCAACACTAAGCCTCCTTCTATCTTTACTCTTTGGATGACATCATTAGAGCCTGTTAATTCTAGACTTAGCTGTAATACCCACATCTCTCAATGCACCCACAGTCTACCCTAAACTCCACACCCAGTGTATGATCATCTGCCAGAGATCTCAGGGGCCTGTCGCACTTGGCCTGCTACCTGCACAGCTCCGGCTTCTCCTACCCTGTTCATTACCTCTAATGATGGTCCCCATGGTCCCCCCAATGCTCATATGTGATGACTCCCCCTTCTGCATCTGCTCTGAGCCATAACTTGGCACTCTGCCATGTCTCTTGGTCCTATCCCTTCTATTCTAGTCCCAGGTTGACAATCTATTCTCTCACTCAGACTGGCCAGAACTTCCTGCCATGGTCTCCCTGTCTGGGTTCCCCTCCCTCCAGTCCCTCCTCCCCTCTCCTGGCTGAAGTGGATCTGATCATGCTGAGACTCAGCCACCTTTTCAGGAGTTCTCACCTCCGATAGCCTACAGTGCACGTGCTTCACTCCGGTGACCAGGGCCCTCCCAACCTCCTCCTAACTCATCTTTCCTCCATCTCTCCCGCTATTCCCCTCTTCTATACTTCCCCCTCCATTCCCCCTACCTCATTCTCTGGCCAACCTCTCCATTCACAAGCTCCCAGACATGTCATTTACTCTCACGCCACTAGGCTCTCTCACACTGTCCCCTTTTCTAGAATTTTCTACTTGCTTCTGTGCCTGGAAAAATCCTGTTGACCTATTAGCCTGGCTCAGATGTAGTTCGTTTTCTCTGCCATCCTTCTAGAGAAGCAGGAAGTGCTTCATTTCCCAGGCTCTGCTCTGTGTGGCGCTCTATGCTCAGGCCTCCTGACCTCTCTCTGAGGATACTATTGTCCCAGGGCACAGAACAGACTAACTATATTCATTTTGTTCTATTTATTTTTTTCAACTTGTTGATTTAGATGTGTTGGTCCTATGTAGACTTAGATTGCTTATTTTGAGAATCCATTATTAAAAATCACAGAGAAATTTAAAAATTGACCTTAAAAAGAGGTGAGAGGGAGTAGATTGAGTGTTCATCTAAAAATTTCATTCTTTTGTTCCTGTGGGGAATACCAAGAAAATGTGTGTTTGGCTATTGCTGTATCCATTTCATATCCCTGTGCCTAGAACATTGCTTGGCACATACTATTTGCAAGTATGTATTGAGTTGGTAAATACCAGAACAGTAGGCAGTCTGAAAGCTATAAGCTGGTGAGTTGTTGATTAAAGATGCTTGCAGTTTCTCACAGCATTTGTTAAACAATAGTCTGAGTCATACTTTTAAAGACTGGGGCTATGATTTTTCACTCTGCAGTACTAAGTAAACTTCTGGGGCAAGCCCAGAAGGTTCTACATTGATAGGCTCCACATGGGTTCTGCCACTTCAGTTTTGCTTACCTTTAAAATTTGGAAAACAACAATCCCTGGAGATCCAGGGGAATCCCAGGCATGGATCACATGAAGCCCTGGCCATGTTAACAGGTCGGACTCCCCCCAAGTTCCCCTGATCCAACTGGCACTCGGCTGGTGCTCCCCTGAGTAGAGATACCAAGTCTGCCTGGTGCTCAGTGTTTCCTATGTAGCAATGTGGATTGAGCCATTAACCCTAATTTGGGTTTGATCTTTTGATTCTTTTTTTCATAAATCCTGCATCATTAGGACTTGGGTTTAACAGTCAGGGATATAATCTTAGTGACGAGCTATAGTTGTGTCACGTTGTTGCAAATCCAAACACGCGTTGATGGGTTTCTTTTAGGTCCGCGTTCTAGTGGTGCCTGCAGAGAATTACGACTATCAAATACTTAACAAAAAATCGGTGGACAAGTCCTTTGAGTTTATCACCAATTGTGGAGGAAACAGTTTTTATATTGAGTAAGTGTCACCGTGGCCAGGCTTGGGAATGCATGGGGTATGCCCACAACCCAGAACCAAATGAGATCCAAGGAGAGGCTGGTCCTGGATCTTCCTCCAGCACCCAAGTAAGTCTCAGGACCTAGCAGGGTGATGCTTTTCCTCTGCACCCACAGTCCTGGGACAGACCTCTCCATGTATCATCTGGGCAGCGTGGCCAGATGGAACTCAGCAGAGGTCCACCCTCCCAGCTGGGATCTGGGGCAGCTTAGGAGTATCTCTTCCTCTTTTGCAGCTTCCTGTCTACCACTGCAGAGTCCTAAAAGATAACCTCACATTGCCCTCCACTAAGCAGACGTCAGCCCTGATCCCCTGCTATCTGCCCAAATGGGGAGCATACAGACATGCAGCCTCCCTTCCCAGTCCTCTTATATCCCTGAATACTGAGAACAAGGACAGCCAAGTATGAGCTCTTCCATGGGCCCCAGTGCCCACCTGTAGCTTTCCTGAAGGACCCATGAGCTCCAGAGGCCCTGGAGAGGCATGTCTCCTAGACAGCAATATTAAAAGCGAAGGCTAGGGGCTGGGGCTGGGGCCTAGTGGTAGAGTGCTTGTCTAGAGCATGCAAGGCCCTGGAATCGATCCTTAGCACCACATTAAAATAAATAAAACAAAGGTATTGTGTCCAACTACAACTTAAAAAAATAAATAAATATTAAAAAAAAAAAAAAAAAGCAAAGGCTTTGGCCAAGCACAGTGGTGCATGCCTGTAATCCTAATGGCTCAGGAAGCTGAGGCAGGATGATTGCAAGTTCAAAGCCAGCCTCAGCAAATTAGCAAGGCCCTAAGCAACTCAGTGAGCCCCTTTCTCTAAATAAAATACACAATAGGACTGGGGATGTGGTTCGGTGGTCAGGTGCCCCTGAGTTCAATTCCTGGTATCCCCCGAAAAAAGCCAAACAGCTGTGGTCTTGAATGACTGCTTGGCTGCTCCACATCTTTTGGTCTTAGGAATGTCCCTTAACTTCTAGGAGATTCAGTCATCTTATCTGTGAAATGGGGTTGAGGCCTAATTGGTTGGGTGGTTGTGAGGTTCAATGAGATATAGCTAAAGCTTCTAGAAGCAACATTCAATACATGGTGATTGCCTTCCTCCTTATTATCTATCGGTTTTATTATTGTATTTTTAAAAATACCGGCTTTATTGAGATATAACTCACAGGCCACAGTGTTCATCCTATAGGTATATTTTCACCCTGTGACTCCAGCTACCCAGAGTTCCCACTGACCATTCCGATGGCATCCTCTCTTGGACTGGATGGTTGGAGAAAAGAGTAGTTTTTAGCAGCTGACATTTCTCAGTCTCAGAGCCCAGAGCACCGCACCCCCACCCCACCCCCACCCCCAAGGATACTGTTGGGAGGAGCAGATGGGAAAGGGAAGTCTGGGATATTTCCAGGCACATGTCCCAGGATGTCAGCAATAAGTTGTTTCTGTTTTCTCAGTCCCCAGACAGCCTCCAGATTCTGTAAGAATTCTGCCAGGTCCTTGGTGGCCTTTTACCATAATGGCGCTCTGCCTTGTGAATGTGACCCTGCTGGGGCCATCAGCCACCACTGCAACCCTGAGGGCGGGCAGTGCCCGTGCAGGCCCAACATCATCGGGCGGCGGTGTACCCGCTGTGCAACTGGCCACTATGGATTCCCACACTGCAAGAGTAAGTGAGCGATTCCAGACCTCCAAGGCCTTCTCTGGTTCCCAGGGGATGCTCATCCAGGGAAGAGCTTCTCAAATCCCACTGTGCCGGAGACTCACCTCGAGGGTTTATGAAATGCAAACCTGGGCCTGAGACTCTGTACTTGCAGTAGGCACCCATCTGATTTCCATTCCCCTGGGCCACAGTGAGTAGCAAGTTCTAGAAGACAAATATTGGTGATCCCCATGCCATGTGACCTATGCACTTGGCAAGCAGGTGACTACAGACTTATATGTCAGAATCTTGGGCAGCTAAATCCCTTCCTTGTAGAAGCCCCTTCAGTTTTTGTGGCCTAACTGAAACTCACTTGAGATAGGAGAACCAGGGTCATACCCATGACTAGATGCTACTTGCAGGATGAGAAACCCTTGAGCTTTTGTCTAAGAACCAACTACCTGTGATCTGAGGCATAGGTCACCCATGTCATGTGGTGGCAAATGCACCCTACAGAGACCAGCCTTTCCCTAACTAAGCAAGAAATGATATAGCTGCATCCATTGGCCCTGACCTTGGCCTCTGGGCCTGTAGTGCACTGGGAGGCCATGGAGCTGCATTGGGGAGCCTGGGAGCAGCCCCTACTTGCTTACTTCTAGAACTTTCTGATGAAAAAGCAGTTCCATATTAGAACAGCACATGACAGCAGTTTGGTGGGCTCCTTGGAGGATCTAGCTTGGAACCAGTTGGTCCAGCTGTGCCTCATTCAGGGTCCACACACGGTATCTGCCAAGAATATTTGGTATGTTGGTTTTGGCCCCAAGAAATGGGCCTTTCAGATCTACTAAGGTCAACGATTTCTTAATGAATGGAAGGCAAAACAATTCTGAGTCCCTTAGAAGCTTCTGGAAATCCTGGCAGATGGTGCAGTCCAGCTGGAGGTCAGGCAGTGCCTAATCCTAATATCACATCTCTCTATCCCCTGGCCAGAGTGCAACTGTGGCAGGCGGCTTTGTGAAGAGGCGACGGGACAGTGCCTCTGCCCTCCCCGCACTGTCAGACCCCAGTGTGAGGCCTGCGAGCTGCATTCCTTCAGCTTCCACCCCCTAGCTGGCTGCGAAGGCTGCAACTGCTCTAGGAGGGGCATCATTGGGGCTGCTGCCCCAGATTGCGATAAGGACAGTGGACAATGCAGGTGAGCTATATACTACTGTATCAGTGCTGTCACAGAAGGTAAGCCACCATCTGTCCACATACTGGTCATTATTATTTCCCATTTCCCTACCTGTCCAAGGAGTGATCTATGTTGACCTCAGGATGGAGCATCCCAGCTGGATAGGGTTGCAGCAGGCAGACTAATAGGTCTCTGCAGGCTTGGGGTAACCAGGCAGAGCCTGGGTGCTGGATCACCTAGAAGCAGCCTTGCCCATTTACTCCAGCATGCTGTCATTGCAGGGTTGTGCTCTGTGGGGACCATGGTATAAAAGGTGAAGGAGCACTATGTATATGTCATGGAGTTATAAGTGTCTTGTGTTGTGATTCTGTGTGATGAGCACCTCTCTATTTGTATTTTGGTTTACGTTCCAACCCTCATTCTAGCATTAGCTGGCAGCATTATCATGAACAATGCAAGACACAAAGTCTGAACTCCTTGGATGACTGTCTGCGTTTAGAAGCTGAGGCCTCTTCAGCAGGGCTTGGTTGGGAGTGGGAAGGAGAAAAGCTGGGAGGTGGCTACCTTTGGGGACACCCATACAGCCCCATACACAATAGCTAAGAAATGGTGGCAAACTTCTGTTCATGCAGAAGCTAAGAGACTTAATGCTCAGTGGGCCAGGCTCTGCATTAGAAGGTAGAGATGGGTGTCACATAATCCCAGGTGACGAACCTTATCTCTACAGTGCTGGACAGTGGCTACAGGATGAAGAAAATAATCCAGTCTGCTAGAAGAGGCTGGTAAGAATTAGGTCAGGGGTTGTATGGAAAGAAAATAATGCCAGAGCTTCCAGGGTCCATGCCAGCATGGCTAAGTAGGAGAAGACATAAGATTCACCATCCATCCAGTAACCCCAAACATGTGGATTTGGGTATGAGAACCAGGAGGGTTTGTAGCTATTGGTGCTCAATGACAGCTTGGGGGTGGCTATATTAGTTTCCTGTGGCTGCTGTAACAACAGAACACAGACCGGATGGCTTAAAACGATACCAATTTACTTTCAAATTTTGAAGAGTAGAAGTTTGTAATCAAGAATGTTAGCAGGGAATAAATGAATTCAGCAAAGTGGCAGGATATAAAATCAACACGCATAAATCAAAGGCATTCCTGTATATCAGCGACAAATCCTCTGAAATGGAAATGAGGACAACCACTCCATTCAAAATATCTTCAAAAAAAATAAAATACTTGGGAATCAACCTAACAAAAGAGGTGAAAGACTTATACAATGAAAACTACAGAACCCTAAAGAGAGAAATAGAAGAAGATCTTAGAAGATGGAAAAATATACCCTGTTCATGGATAGGCAGAACTAACATCATCAAAATGGCGATATTACCAAAAGTTCTCTATAGGTTTAATGCAATGCCAATCAAAATCCCAATGGCATTTCTTGTAGAAATAGAGAAAGCAATCATGAAATTCATATGGAAAAATAAAAGACCCAGAATAGCAAAAACAATGCTAAGCAGGAAGTGTGAATCAGGCGGTATAGCGATACCAGACTTCAAACTATACTACAGAGCAATAGTAACAAAAACAGCATGGTACTGGTACCAAAACAGACGGGTGGACCAATGGTACAGAATAGAGGACACAGAAACCAATCCACAAAACTACAACTTTCTTATATTTGATAAAGGGGCTAAAAACATGCAATGGAGGAAGGATAGCATCTTCAACAAATGGTGCTGGGAAAACTGGAAATCCATATGCAACAAAATGAAACTGAATCCCTTTCTCTCGCCATGCACAAAAGTGAATTCAAAATGGATCAAGGAGCTTGATATCAAATCAGAGACGCGCCGTCTGATAGAAGAAAAAGTTGGCTACGATCTACAGTCGGTGGGGTCGGGCTCCAAATTCCTCAATAGGACACCCATAGCACAAAAGTTAATAACTAGAATCAACAAATGGGACTTACTCAAACTAAAAAGTTTTTTCTCAGCAAAAGATACAATAAGAGAGGTAAATAGAGAGCCTACACCCTGGGAACAAATCTTTACTCCTCACACTTCAGATAGAGCCCTAATATCCAGAGTATACAAAGAACTCAAAAAATTAGACAATAAGAGAACAAACAACCCAATCAACAAATGGTCCAAGGACCTGAACAGACACTTCTCAGAGGAGGACATACAGTCAATCAACAAGTACATGAAAAAATGCTCAACATCTCTAGCTGTCAGAGAAATGCAAATCAAAACCACCCTAAGATACCATCTCACTCCAGTAAGATTGGCAGCCATTAAGAAGTCAAACAACAACAAGTGCTGGCGAGGATGTGGGGAAAAGGGTACACTTGTACATTGCTGGTGGGACTGCAGATTGGTGCAGCCAATTTGGAAAGCAGTATGGAGATTTCTTGGAAAGTTGGGAATGGAGCCACCATTTGACCCAGCTATTCCCCTTCTTGGTCTATTCCCTAAAGACCTAAAAAGGGCATGCTACAGGGACACTGCTACATCGATGTTCATAGCAGCACAGTTCACAATAGCAAGACTGTGGAACCAACCTAGATGCCCTTCAATAGACGAATGGATAAAAAAAATGTGGCATTTATACACAATGGAGTATTACTCTGCATTAAAAAATGACAAAATCATAGAATTTACAGGGAAATGGATGGCATTAGAGCAGATTATGCTAAGTGAAGCTAGCCAATCCCTAAAAAACAAATGCCAAATGTCTTCTTTGATATAAGGAGAGTAACTAAGAACAGAGTAGGGACGAAGAGCAGGAGAAGAAGATTAACATTTAACAGGGATGAGAGGTGAGAGGGAAAGGGAGAGAGAAGGGAAATTGCATGGTAATGGAAGGAGACCCTCAGGGTTATACAGTGGAGGAGGTAGAGAGAGAGGAGGGGAGGGGAGGGGAGAGGTGGGGATGGGGGAGGGTGGAGGACGGGAAAGGCAGGGAAGCACAACAGACACTAGTATGGCAATTTGTAAATCAATGGATGTGTAACTGATGTGATTCTGCAATCTGGGTATGGGGTGAAGGTGGGAGTTCATAACCCACTTGAATCAAAGTGTGGAATATGATATGTCAAGAAATTTGTAATGTTTTGAACAACCCACAATAAAAAATTAAAATAAAAAAAAAAAAAAAGAATGTTAGCAGGGGCTGGCGATGTGGCTCAAGCGGTAGTGCGCTCGCCTGGCATGTGTGCAGCCCGGTTCGATCCTCAGCACCACATACAAACAAAGATGTTGTGTCTGCCGAAAACTAAAAAATAAATATTAAAAAAATTCTCTCTCTCTCTTTAAAAAAAAAAAAAGAATGTTAGCAGAGTTGGTTCCTTCTGAGCCTCTGAAGGAGGATCTGTTCCAGGCCTTTGTCCTAGCTCCTGGTATTTCTAGCAATCAGAATTTCCTTTTCTTGTTGCTGCATCACTTCAGTCTCCCCTGTCATCACATGCTGTTCTCTCTGTGCCTCTGTCTCAAATAGAGCTCTACTCTGTGTACATGTCTGTCTTTTGCTTTCCTATAAGAACTTCAGTTGTATTGGCGTAGGACCCACCTTCCTTCAGAATAACCACATCTTGATTGCATCTTCAAAGACCTTATTTCCAAATAAAATCACTATCTCAGGTACCAGGAGTAGACCTTGGTCGCATCTTTGGAGGGGACACAATTCAACTTTCTATTGCAGCGATGTTCACTTTTCCTAAAGAAAGAATCTCCATCACTTGTTTAACTGTTGCCGCAGGCTGCCAACTTCTTTAGGCTGCTCGGGCCTGTAAGGAAGCTGAGAGGAAACCTGAGTCAGGGATCATTCCATGATCCAGGTGTGAGTCCTCCCTGCGTCAACCCAGTCACTCCACAACCACGGGATGGCCCCAGGGAGGATACCTTTGCTTAATCACAGGAAGCAAAGGAACCAAGAAAGGGATGGAGCAGCAGTTTTCAGGAAGAAGAAAAACAGGAGAACTAGTGGGGAGAGGGTTTTCAAAGGGAACAGTTGCTGCAAACAGAAACCTCACCCAGTTCTCAATGCTGCTGCACTGGGATTGGGGGTGAGGAGGACAGTGCTTTAAATTTTTTTAAAAAATCAGTTAAGGCAGCAGGAGATGATGAGTGGATTTGCCATACTACTATAGAAAAAATATTTGAAAAACTTTTAATAAACCCTCCCCAGCCAATGATAGTTTAATAGACTAGAAGATTGCTACCTCATGTTGTTCTGCCCACACTCAGGAACATCAACAGAAATGGGACCTTATTAACTCATGTCACACTCAAACCAACTGTGAAATTGTTTACTTGGACATTGCCAAAGAGACTGAAGTCACATAATGGGATTACATATCTACCATGATCAAAGTGGATTTGTCCTAATGGGTCCTGGGAAGATAATCTTAAAAAACAAACAAACAAACAAAAAAATTCAGTGTATTGCACTAGTGCAAATTACATACATTTCCCATAATAGTTCCAGTGTTAATGCTGAAAAAGCTTTTGATTGCCTAAAAGATTATTTATTTATAAAATAGTGGAGGAAAAATTGCCTGCCCTCCTGAAAATTTCCTGATGTAAATGAAGAATATGTTTAGAGAGACCTAAAGCTCACGTAAAAGAATAATCAGAGATATCTGGCATTTGCAACAAAAAGAAAAAACACATCATTTCCCAAATATTCCCAATGCTCTTGCAGTAGTATAGATTTTCACAAATTACAAAGCTCAAAATTGAATTTTTAAATTGTATTTACCAGCTTGAAGATTTTAAAGCTTATCATATTCACTAAAAGAAAATTAAACTGTTAGAGATATTAATCTACTTTAAAATTAAATACAAAAATAATTCTAGCAATCCATAATACAGTCTTTATTAAAAGTGATATTGTAATTTTTAGAGATAACTGGGAATAAATTCAGCTGGAACCATAAAACTGAGTTCTCAATCTGCCTTTGTCACCGATGTCCTAGGAGGACTTCAGGCAAGTCACTTTGCCTTCCTGGGCCTCAGTTTCCTAAC